ATGTACACAGCGTGAACACGTGACATGTAATACACAAAACGATCAGGCGCCAATTCCCAATAGATTTTTAGACGATGTTCTTTGGATGCTAACAGGTCAACATCCGTAACCCTCCATAACTCTTAGTTGTCATGAACGGCAGGTATGGTCAACTATAGCTACCCATCTGTATAAGTGGGTCGCATATGTATGTTCCTACGGTTTAGGCTTTTTATTTTATATATGCATGCACATGAGGTCACAATCTTCTGTCATCTCCTGCCCGGTCTTATACCAAATGGCTGAGGCACCTTCCTGACCGGAAAGGCGCCTAATCAAAACTGGTATGAATGCCTCTTAGGAAGTCAACTGATTGGGCTGCCAGTCATTGCTGTTTTAATGGACACCGCTATGGGTTTGGCAACTTGAAGCATGGAGCACGGCACGACAGCATGGTTATAAGGCTATCGATAACATCGTGCTTTCATTTGAAAAGACAGCTGCAACAGACCGAAGTATGTTCCGAAAAGTACCGGAGTAGGTGGCGTGCACAAATGACAAGCCAAGTCAAACCTCCGTCCTTTCGTGCCGGCCACATGCACAGAACCATCCGAGGATCCCCGAGACTTGACCAGGGTCATGATGACTGGCTGGTGAGCCGCCCGGATACACGGCGAGGCTCGGCCGGCGGCGGCCCTCGCGCCGGCAGCGACAGCCGCGCCGCCGCGCGTGGCGCGCGCCGGCCGCCGCGCCGCACCCATGGCGCGAGGCCACGCGTGCCTGCCGCCGCTCGGCCGGCTCAAGGCGAGCGGCGCGGTGAGCTGCCGCGTGACGGTGAGCTCGGCCGCGGACGGTGAGACGGCGAGCAGGAGAGCGGCGGCCGCCGCCGGACGCCGGCGCCGCCGCGGCCGGCGGGAGCTTAATCGACTGAAACACGCCTGAGGTTTACGGCCTCGGCGGCTGCGGGCCGGGGATAATCGGCGAGTGGACGCGGCAGCCTCGGCCGTGCTGGACCCAGCGCACCTGTCCATGGAGACGCTGGAGGGGAGGCGGCCGTGGCGGCTTCGTCATGGCATCCCGGATGCGTGGAACCAGGGCTGGCGGCAAGGGTTCGTCGAAGGGCGCGCGTGCAGGGGAGGTGACCTCCGTCGGGCAAATGGCAGTAGTGTTTGCTTCCGTCATGCCGACAAATGCTAGGCTCAGCAACAGCGCCACACATGGGGAGTCGAGTCGGCTTTTCTTTCGGAGCTAGCGTAAGAGTCAGCACAGTAGAACGAGAACCTTACACGTTTGCCAGCCTTTCCGCACGCCGAGTGCGTGCGTGTGTTATCATCCTGGAACAGGCTGATATTTCCTGATCATGCCTAGAAAGGCTGTCTTTGATAATGTGCTACAAGCTCCAAACACATCCTATCCGTCCCACAGTTTTACAAATATGTTCCTTTCAAAGATCAGCATATTTTGCCTGCTGCTCGTGTTGGTACGCCAGATGACGCTCGTATACCTGGCTCAGCGACCTAGGTCACAGTTTCACAACACTATGCTGAGGCGCAAGCAGGCATCGAACATCCAAATGTTCCCGCATGCAAAAAGCGACCGAGCGTTTAAAAAGAAAAGCGTAAGAGACGGACTATCGCAGCGAGATAAATGCTGCTTTCTCTGCAACGCTTACCACACCGTAGGGTACAGTTATCATTCACTTGCTGCACGTGTGACCTGGAAGTCCCGTGGCTTATTTGTATTCATGCGGTGCTCCCCTGTGAGGCGAATGTGCGCGTGTCAGCGCTCCGGCAATGTGTTCATGTTGCCATTCTCGCTAATGCGTTACTCCATGGACAGAATGTGGGATCCTCACTGGCAGGCGTCAGCTGGCACCAGACCCCAGAATTCTGGGGATTGTGGAAAAAACGGGAGTGGAAATGCCCGACACCCTGACTTCCCAGGGCTTATAGTTGAAAATGGATGAGGGTTTCTTGGCGTTGTGGATTGGCTAGGTTTCTCATGGCATTTTCATTTACCCCATTCATCTGATTCACATCATTGCGGGGGACCTGGCGCACTGCCAGTGGAAGGAAGCTACATTTACCAGTTCGAATGCCGGTTAGGTCTGTTCAAATTTACCTTTCGTGCAGGAGCCTCCTTCAGCGGCGAGGCGCGCTGCGACAGGTGTTCCCCGGCCGACGACGCCAGCCATCGCCTCGTTTGCCATCTCAGGTCACAACCGACCGCGGTATTCCTGCGGGACGGGGAAACCCCGACGCGTCCCAGCCGGTGGGACGCGTAGCGCCGGCGTGGCCTCGACCACAGATCGCACCAAGCGCACACGGCAAGCCCCCCCCCCCCTTCCCCCACTCCCACCACGTGACGAGGTTCAGGAACACCAGCTGGGTCAAGGCGCCAGCCGATCACGTGCTGACCTCTACGCGCGACGGGATCACGGGGGGAGGGGAGGGTCAGCTCGCCACTTAAAGTCACCTGAGGCAGCCTCCAGCGAGGTCGAACGGTGCAGCGGAGACCCCTGCGCGGTACCCAGCACGTGCAGTGGCATGTGCCATCGTCAAAACGTGGATGTTGAGCCTGCCGGAAATGTCTACTCACGGTCACGAAGGCATCCATCCTTTGTTTTCGTTGACGGCCTCCACCACCGCAGTGGTAAAGCACGCTTTCTCCCAACCTGTCAGGCGAATTTCACTTTGTACCAACAACCATGTTAAACGACCATGAGAAGGCCCCGCCTACATACACACGTACACCACTGTGTGACAGGACAACGAACAACATTAAGATTTCACGGCCCACGCGGTTCCCGACAGATCCTGGAAGTGGGAGAGAGCCTTCACCGGGCACTCTAGAGCCTACAAGTCGAGCCGGATCGATCCGGACAAATCCTGTTCGGCTACCTTGAAATCATCCGTGGGCCTAGACTCCTCGCCCTGCCAGTAACGCCCGCCGGCTGCGAGGAACATGATCTACGGTTATTTAATTTTTTTTCGAGAGCAGGTTATTCACCGCACCCTTTGCGGGTCGGGTAAGTTTGTCGTAAGACAAGGATGATGCAACGGAATTAACCGAAGCTTCGAGCTTGGTTCTTTCTCATGTACCTTCTAATGAAGGCAAATAACGCACGGTATTCCCAGCATGAGTATACAAGCTCCACCACATTTTACCAACAAATTTGCATCGTCACGATTGCCGCCCAGTGTGAGATCCCGTGGAAACCACAAGCATGACATAACACTTGAAATCGTTTAACGGGCACCCGGATGGGAGAGAGGGGGTAATCTTCACGAAGGTGTTTTCAGGATATCTCTCGACCGAAGCGGCGTGACAACGTTAAGCTTTGTAGAGCCGTACATGTGTGGATAACTGATGTTTTGGTATCCGCAACTAGTTTGCCTCCTAGGTCGCTGGCCCGTGGCAGGTCAATGTGAAGCCGGGGTGTCATGTCACCTTCTAAAATCGGTTTGGGGCCCTAGCCGACAAGAGAAACCATAACTATTCGGTTGATTGAATAATCGGTGACTTTCGAATGGTCTATCATTGGCCTAAATCCCGTTTCAGCAAGTTAGCTTTTGCCTCACTGACATTTCTGCTTAACAGTTCTCGCTGATGAGTATCTGAACTTGCTTATACGGACCTCCTCTTCGGACCCAGTGGGCTCTCCAGGCTCTCCTGGCCTCCTCGAACGCTGCCTCTGGTCGACTCGGGCCCCTTGCCAACACAGTACAAGGGGCCCGAGGGCCCCTTGCCCTGGGGTGGGGACAGCTCCAGGCGCTGCGGGACCCTGACAGACGCCTGGGCCCCGCTTTATCCCTGCTTGGGACGTAGGCCCTCAGACCCATGCCGCCACGGAGCGGACTGTGCGTTAATAGTGGTGTCGGACCGACATCTGGCCCTTACCGACTCAGGGGGCCCCAGACCAGCGCACAGGGCCCTCTGGCTAGCATATGAGTGATCAGCCCAGCAGCCTGAGCCCCTGAATACGACCTCGACCGGCCTTACGGACCCTCAAATTGGACCCTTAATCGAAGGTGCCGGGGGGGGGGGGCAAGGGGCCCCTCGGAACCCAAGCAGGGGGGCATGTGCCCCTCTCTGGCAGAGCAACTGGCTACGAGCCGTCGGGTTTTTCACATTCGATAAATTGCATTCGACACCTCCTCGGAAATCTTAAAGCCGATATAACAGTTATGGACGATGTCATACGCAACTTCGATCTGGCTGCTTATATAATGACGGCTGTTATTAGGATTACAACCATTTCCTTCAACCTCAGGTCAGATATGAATGTCAGCAGCTGAAAGAAGAAATCAGCTTTCTGCCGGTAAACTTGTTTTACCGGATAAACGGGGGAAACTTATCTTTTAATCTACTTGTCAATTTCCCGATCACAATGACGTCCAAAGAGAACGGAATTCTTCGTATGACTTCGTGAGGGGCAGTGAAAGTCAATGATCGAAAATGACTCCCATCCGCCCTTTACTTCGGAAACGCACTGCCTGGGTTATCTGAGCTAGCAAATAAAATAAAAATCCGAGGGCGTTGGGAGCTGATACCACTCTAAGTGATCTTTTGCCAAGGTTCAGTATCAGGGTTAAAGCAGACACCGATCTCGAGTCGGGCATTTCAGCCGAGACCCAATTTGACATTTCTAGCTCAAATAATGTGCCACGTAAGACGCAACTTTTCTCTCCGGTTCTCAGCTTTTGAAGCATCAGGGCAGGGGGCGGGACAAAGTGACCCCTCACACGGGCCCGTCGCCTTCAACCGGCCACCCGAGCGCGTGTTAAGGATCCATGCTCTGGTCTGCCTCACAGGGCCTTGCAACTGGCCGAGCGCGCTACTTGTCACACTTATACATTGGTAACACCGAAATGTTTGGACCCTAGTGGTTGAATATCTAGTAGATCTGGGCTAAAAACTGGCCACTTAGCCGGTGCAACGCACCCGGCGGTGTTGTTGACCAACTATCAAATCAGTTGTTGACTAGATACCGAATCAGGGTCGTTGCCCAGCCCACTACATGCTTTTGAGTTATTATTGTTCGCCCTAGTTCAGCCACAGACGGGTCAAGTGGTCAAGGTGCACAACAGCTACCTGCGACTGATACTAACGTACAGCTAGCACTCGTACCCTACAGCACGCCAGCGCGAGGCCGGGCACACGCAGCACGAGCACACCAGCTCTCCTCCCGCGGCCAGATTTGTGCATATGTTCCATACCTTTCGCAGGCAATGTCATGGCCACACCATTGTAACCAAACGGTTCAAATACACATCTCACTTGCATGGTCGAGCTGAAGCGTCTGATCCCGTGGCTGTACAGCATGAGTATCGCAGCAGGCGGCTGTACATGCACTCATTCCGCAGACGGTCAAACGCCTTCCCCCATAGAAAATGCGGCCGGCCGGGGCTGGACCACTTTCGTTAGCATTGCGCCCACACCTGAAGAAGGGGACGAGCAGGCTCGCGCACTCACGGCACAAACAACCCCCAAAACCGTCCTTAGCAAAGATCGGGGAGTCGCAGCACAACAACGGAAAGAGCGCGTACAGTCGACCCTAATACTAGGCCCGAATACACGAATACGCCAACACAGCCGCCCCGCAGTGGCCGGGTGTGCATCAGACCGGGAGCCCGGCCGGCCGAGCGCGCAGTAACAACCAGAACCCGCTGCGGCCGGGGTCGGGCCGCCCCGCCGCCCGCCCCAGCGACTAGACCACCTACGAGCCGGCGCGTCCCCGGATGACACGCGACGGCGCGCGCGGCACTACCACACATGCGTCTCGCGCACCTCGCTGATGATGGTGCTGGCGCGCTGCAGGGCGCGCAGCATCTCGGCGCTCTCGCGGCGCCGCTGCGCGATGTGCGGCGACTCCGAGAGCAGCGTGTCGATCTCGCTCGGGCTGTACAGCTTCGACACCAGCTCCGACTGCACGTTGTCTTTGACGTAGTTCACCAGGAAATGCATGACGGCCTTCGGCACCGTGTCCTGGATCGACTTGCGCACGATGTAGAAGTAGGACTTGATCAGGCGCTCAATCACCTCACAGTCGCGCTGCTCGCGCTCCGTCAGCTTGCGGCCCGGCTGCGACGGCACCTCCGGCAGCAGGTTCACCGGCTTGCCGGGCGTGGAGGGCTGCTGCTGCGACTGCGGCGGCGGCGGCGGCTGCGCTGGCGCGTCGCCGCGGCCCTGGTGCTGCGGCGTGACGGGCGGCGTGCTCTCTGCGGAGCCGGCGCCGCTCTCCTCGCCGCGCGACGGCAAAAGCTGCGCCAGCCAGTTGCTGTTGGCCACCTGCGAGTCGCTCGAGTATTTGACCAGCCGGTTGCGCGGTGGCTCGTCGTCGGCCGGCTTGAGCAGCGCTACCTGGCCGCCGCCAGCGGCGGGCGGCGCCGGCCGCGAGGGCCGATGCCGCGGCCTGCAGTCCTCCTCGGCGTTCTTGATCAGCGACGACACTAGCGCCGCGTCCTTGTGGAAGTCCGGGTGCTTGGTGTTGATGTAGGCCAGCTCGATTTGCACCAGGTTCTCCACCATCTGGTTGGTGGGCGGCAGGCGCACGCGCAGCAGCTGCGTCACCACCTCCACGATGCGCTCGTGAAGCTTGGGGAAGCGCAGCATCTCCTGCTGCACCTCGGTGCCGCAGTGCTGGATGATGCGCTGCATCTCCTCGTGCGCCAGCTCCACGCAGCGCAGTGACGGCTCCTCCAGCCGGGAGATCTGACGCTTCACCAGCAGTTCGAACGACACCTGACGGCGGAACACGGAAACGCTCACCAGAGGGCAGGGCACGCACACAGAGCAGCGACCACCGGGGACCCGTACATCCGCGGAAATACTGTATGACGTGACACGCACGCAGCCACTTTATCGCGCGCTATTACTTTGGACGTCTTAACTTTTCGTGGGGAACAGGTGCCATGCAAGCATAACCAAGTTAGCAATAAGTTTGTTTATGGGGGGCAAGCACACGCTCGCCGCACGTTCTCGTTCGAAATGATTTTACAGCCTGCCAGCCGCATGAGCGAACACCTCGGTTCAAGCTATGATCAGATTTGGGGAGGGCATATCTGATAACAATCACGGGCATAATGCTCTACAGCTTGGGCCAGGCTAAGACTCCGGCAGTAATCCTGCACGGGGGCGTGGAAATACCACCGCATCCAAAAGCGCCACTTGCTTACATAACAGAGATTACGGCTTATGCAGAACATCAGATATGGCCAGTCTGCCGTAATCAGAAAGTAAAAGATATCGCTGGTCAACACCAACGCCATTACTGGAGCGACTACGTGCTGAGCGACATGCGTGCCTTTGTAATCATAAGTAGCGAGAACACTCCAGCATGTTATCTAATTCTCTTCAGCATGCACACGAGACTTTCGCTACATCGGAATGCATGACCCCTGGGTCTGCATAATAAATGAGTCAAATACCGGTCTTGCGCTTATCACAATGATTGCAAACGCACTCTGGCATGCTATCTTTTTCTTTTTAGCATATACACGAGCATCCGTTGCTTCAGAAGGCATGACCACTGGGTCTGCATGAGAAATGAATCAAATGCCGGTCTTGCATTTATCACAATAAGTGCAAACTCTTCAATCATAATTACAACCACGTTGCACATTATGTACACAATGGTGGGTTGGTGAGACGATTGATTTTATCGATCCCAAAATGATAGCAATGAGATACCACCTTGGAACTGTTTGGCCACACATTATTGAATGTACCGTGATCCACTTCAAACGATACTACCGCCGTCCGTGGCGTACCGCGCCAGCGCCAGCACCGACCCCACCACTAAGCAGCGGCGCCTCACCACTACCGGTGCGCCGGCCTACCTCCGGTATGAAGAGCGCCGGCCGCGGCCCCGTGGCGTTGCGGATGGCCGTCAGTATGTCCATCGACGTGAGCCCGGTCAGCGGGTGGATCGAGTCGAGCACGCGGCCGAACGTCTCGTGGAAGATGTAGCAGATGCGCGCGCCGCCGCACAGCTCCGTCGTCTCGATGTTGCGCGCCGTGCCCTCGATTGTCTGGCAGTAGGCCGACGCGAACTTGGTGATGATCTGCAGCAGCGTGCGCGCCTTGTCCGACACGTCCTCGCCGTACGAGTTCAGCAGCGACTGGAACTGCGACGCCATCACGTTGACGCGCGTCTTCAGGTCGGGTAGGCAGTCGCGGATGTGGTGCATGAGCAGGCGGTTCAGCGTCTTGCCCAGGTACTGCGAGCCGTTGCGCGCCGCCAGCGACGGGTACTTGCGCTGCAGGAAGGCCGTCTCGTCACGGATGGCGTCTTCGATGCTCTTGTTCTTCTGGATGTCGTGCTGCGACCGGTTGACGACGCCGATGATGCCCAGCTTGACGGGCACCACCTTGCCGCAGAGCATGTCGATGGCGTCGGTGCCGGCGTCCATCAGGTCCAGCTTGGTGATGACGGCCAGAGTGCGGCGGCCGTCCGGGTCCACCTCACGCGCGAACTTGAGGCTCTCGGCCGTTGACATGTCGATGTTGGCCGCCGTCACCGCCAGGATGATGGAGTTCGGGTTGGTGATGTACTTGACGAGCAGCTCCTGGATCTGCGAGTCAATGTCCTCGGGCTGGTCGCCGACGGGCACCTTGGTGAGGCCGGGCAGGTCCACCAGCGTCAGGTTCACCACGTTCGGCGAGAAGATCTTGAGGCTGATGGGCTCCGGGCATATGCCCTTGTTGGTGCCAGGCGCGCTTGTCCGTCTCGACCTCGATCTCTTTGCGCACCTCATCCAGGTCCTTGAAGACGCGCTTGGTGTGCAGGAAGCGGCCAAACTCGGGCACGTCCAGCGTGCCATCCTCGGCCGAGCGGTGCTCGCGGTCCGACAGCGGCGTGTGCACCAGCTGCAGCACCAGCGGGCAGCGTGTCACGATGCCTACTGCCGCGCGGCAGGAACGACCGGCCCACCAGGCTCTCCAGCACCGAGCTCTTGCCCGAGCTCTGCGAGCCCACCACCACGATCTGCGGCAGCTGGATGGCGTCCGAGCCCACCGTGCTGAACACGTCCTGCAGCTTGTTCAGCACCGGGATCAGCGCTTCCACGGCCGACATCCTGGGCCGGGCCTCCTCAGCAGCGAGCTGTGCCTGGGATGCTGTCTGCAACATTGCACAATGTTGGAATGGGTGAGGATAAGGCTGACCAGAAAAATAGGAGGTGGTTTGGAGGTGCCTTTGCAAGCTCAGTGGCAAAAGCATTTCACAGGATTGGTGGCTGCATCCCCATCAAAGGATTACTATCAAAGGCATAAGTGATCAACATGATTTTATCCACAGCTGCACTCACATTGTTTGCATAATTTAAGAACTCTGTGTACCTTAATTGGTAACAGAAAAATTGGCCGAGAAATTGCCAACTCAGCTAAACATAAAGCAGCTCTTGTACAACATGCTGGGTGCAAGTAAGGTACAGTCGGATTTGAATTACTGGGAAACGTTGACAGGTAGCTTCGTAATTCATTTGGATGTTAGAATGTGATGCATATAATTCTAGTACATGTAACTTGGAAAACAAATCAATCTGATTCTTTTCAATTTCCAGTTCATGCTTTTACATTTGTTTATCTCTCTTGGTTAACCCTCCATTACTTTTATACCAAGCTTCTGTTACCAATTAAGGTACATGGATGAACACATGTCATCAGCAGTATACCACCAACACTTGAGCTATGGATACTTATTTTCAAGCTTTCATTAACCATATGATAAATTTTGCTCACTTCAGACTAAGGCATATATATTTTGAGCCAAACAGGTTTGAGTTCCAAGGCTGCTGCAGCAGGCAGCCCTTTTGCTGTGTGGTGTGTGGTGCAATGCATTCCAAACAGTTGGACCAATGAATGCTCTTATTCTGAGTATGCCTGCATTAGGTAAACCTGTCCCATGCCTCTAATGCACTGCACACCATGGTTACACCCCACACTTTGCCCTGCAAGAGGTGAAGTGCAGGACAGTGTATTTTGAACAGGAATATGCCATAATGCCTTATTATTGTCACATACCAGTCTGCCTAAAATCTAACCACTGCATTGGATGCATACATGATTTCAGTGTGCTTAACTGGGATATTTTAATGACATTTGATTTATATGAAGCTAGCATTAACAATTTTTGTCTATCCAATGTGTCATCTTAACTTAAATTTACCATCAAACTAAGTCAGTACAAATCTTTGCACAAACATGTATAAATTGACATACCAAATCAAAGAGCAGGTGAAGCACTCAGCACTTGCTTTACAGGTCAGAGGTCACCAACCAGGGTCCTGATCCAAGGACCCATGACAAATAATCCCTGAGCAGTTGCTGATAAAACCATGTACATTACTCCTGCCTTTGATATAATAATTGAATGTGGTTGCAGCTGGAAGTCCTAAGGAAAGCTTTTGTACTGTGCTTGCACAAAAAGATAAACCACATAAACCCCATTTCATGTGCCTATGGTGTTTTTCCAGCAAGCCACCAAATTTAGACTAAGCCAAATTGTGCTGAATGTTCTTATAGTTTTTCTTGGAAAAAGGTCATAAGAGTATTTCTGCTGGAAACACACTTAAAATTCACATTTCCTGGAAATAGCAGCTGTCTATGTGCTAAAATGATTGTGACTGTATGCCAAACTTGGGCTCTCAAATTCTAAGCACACAAATGCTCTGAAACTGTTGCTGGGATGTTCCTGCTACACCAGAGAAATGAGCATTGGTTTCAGCCTGGCCTTAAGGTCAATTCATGCTATTTATAATATAAAGAAGTAAATCTGAAGGCCATCGATGTCTAGATCCAAAGAATTTGAGAAAACTAAACACCAGGCCCATGAAAGTGCACAGAAAAACAACTTAATTCTTCAAGGCCCCCAATGGTGGACGTTTCTTCCGTTACAAGGGGCACCGCTTGAACACAAGCATCAGGTGGTGTAATTCTCCGAGTCGAAATGCACTCCACGTTTGTTATCTGCACGGCGCGGCATGACGAAACACCGTGAAAACGCAAATGTTGTATGCTGTGAGCTGGTAAGTGACATCGGCAATGGCGCGCAACACAAGGTAATACTAGCTTGCATGGTATCAAACAAGAACTGCACCGCAACTGACCCTATCGTACCATTAGCTATGAAGCAAACCGGCGAAGTATCGGGCTCCCTCAATCGCTCACAGGGCCCCACGAAGGAACCTCCAGCAGCCGACGGCGATCAAGGTATCAAGTCGTGGGCGGCAATAATCGACGGATTTAGTTTGTTACTTAGAATTTAGTCGGAAGAAAACTGAGCTAAATTCTCGACAAGGTGCGTGCAATATGAAATCCTGAATAAACATCGATGTTCGAAGCGCAAACGAGTTAACAAACTGTGTTCACTTAAGGCGCTAACAAGGAAGAATTTCCTATTCAGTTTGGTTGGCTTTACTATAACATAGTCGCAGCTCTCACAGCTTTGGAAAATGTGGGCTGACTTTTCTCTTTTAAGGCCCCAGACAGCATAACCAACTGGAACCCATGTAGATCCGTGATGGACAGTCATATGGGGCTATCAGGGCTGCCCACTTCGGCACCATGTGGACATGTCATGGGTGCCCACCTGGGTCCCCACATGAACGGCCCATATGGGGCCCGTATGGGTCCAAACTGGAACCCACATGGGGCCCACCTGGCAGGGGCGGCGTATCTGAATTTTGGAGCGGAAGGGGGGGGGGGGGGGGCAAAGACTACGAAGACCTGCTTCTAAACCGATGGGCTTCTTATTAAGTACAGGCGCGCAGCCTTGGAAAGCGAGGACTCACGGTCGACAAAGAGCCTCTGATAATAAAAGCCTCCTACCGAGACAAAAAAGCACCGAATATGGCTCAGCTCTTAATGAAGACATGCTTTTATATCTGCTCATGTTTACCCTCTGTAACTGGCATGGAAGCCGAAGCTACCGCGGGATCAATTCTCCCTGAATTTTACAGTCCATCAACCGAAGAAAGCATGCGCTAGACGATAACATGGAATAAATCACCGGAGCTCTTCATTTTACAATAGTACAGTGGTCTTTCTCTAAACCGATCGGACTTAGAAGCTTTTTCAGAATCATTTTTGGGCTGTACATATATTTTTTTTAAACCGCGCGACTGTAGCTCGAAATGGATCAGCAATGTGTATTTACATGGCCAAGTCATGTTGGTCGGGGAATGTTCAACAGTCAGTAGTAATTGATAGGTGATACAAATTATATAACGAAGTTTTCAGCAGGCGTGCTAGCAAATCTTAGCAAAAAACCTCGACGCCAGGCGTGACAGACTCCGTAGGCCGCACAGTTTCAGCCCTGTAGCTAACACTAAGCCGCAGCCAATGTGTGGACGAACAATAGCGCAGGCAGGCGGGGGCGCGGGGGGCATGTGCCTCCCCCCCCCCTCTGTAAGGTTCCGCGGGCCTCTCGGGACCTACGATTAAGGGCCCGATTTGACGGCCCGAAGGGCCCGAAAGTCCACACGGAGGTCTCATTCAGGGGCCGGGCACTCCAATTCCAGCCAGAGCGCCCTGCGTGTTCATCAGGGACCCATTGAGTCGATAAGGGCCTATATTTCCGTCAGCCACCACCACTCATGTACAGTCGACTCCGTGGCGGAATGGGTCTAGGGCTCATTTCCCAAGCAGAGACACAGCAGGAGCAAGCGTTTTACATTGCGCGAGGCCCACATCGCCTAACAGGGGCCCTGCGTTGTCAGGGGGCCCAGAGTCAGTCAGAGATCATGTTCGAAGAAGCCCGAAAAGCCTAGAGTCAGAGCGCCCTTTGCGCCGATCGTGGATCCCCTGGGTCGATATAGGCCTATATGTCGGTCAGGTACCACCAGTACCGCACAGTCGACCCCGTGGCTATATGGGCTTGAGGGTCCACTTTTCAATCAACCATAAAGCTGGGGCCAGTAATTTACACTTGTCGGCGGCTTTGTATCTGTCAGGGGCCCACAGCGCCTATCAGAGGGTCCTGTGCTCGTACGGGCCCCGAGCCAACCAAGGGAAGTACTCGATGAGGCCCGAAGAGGGGCAAGGTGACACACCGAAACCGTCAAAGCGTCCGATTGGAGGGAATGAGGGCCCGAACGACTGGCTGTACGTCGTATACACAATCTCGGCCTGTAGGGATAGGGACCTGAAATATTATCCAGAGGTCCTCTTGCACCGTTTCAGGAACCCCTGAAGCAATGCGAGTGTCGGTCAAACCACGAACTCCGAACTCATACAAATCAGAAGATCACGAAAATGCAAGACCAGTTTGCGGCATACTACAAAGAACGCGTGCTTCCGTGGTACGTGACGCATTTGCAGCGAAAGGTTGCGAATTGTGCCCTCCGTTCTCATCATGCATCGTGAGACGCGGATGGCATGCACGAAGCTGGCGAATTAATCACGAATTATCACGAATTAGTCACGAGCCTTTGATATCTGGCAAAATGTCTACCAGGACTGTGATTCCTACCAGACTGCTTTTCGTACCAAGGCAGGGAGCGATGACGTCATCCGATTTTTGTGTTTTAAACGGAGGCTCTCGTCAACCGGGACTCAGGGCACGCGGAGCGGGAGATACGTGAGGTGAGGTACTGTTCAATGGCCTTGGGTGAGATCCATGAATAGAAGTCCATCCATTCAGAATGTTCGCACTAAGTTTTTCATAAAGGTTCTGCTATAATAAGATATGCTTAGAGCGGCCTGGGAGTTGCGGCCACCACTGCCCGGACTGGAGCCTGGTCCCTCCAAAATTCCTCATGCGTCTCAGGCACCTAAACAACATTAATGGGTTCAATCTGTGCCGCACATAGGTCATGCTACATAAACTGCTCCAATTCAAATGTATTTTGAAGGACAATATTTGGCTGCATTGAGGAGGTGCTTAAGCTAGCATTTATCATCCCTTGTCAATTCCTTAAAACAGTGGTCTCGCATGTGTTGAAATTACCATCAGCCAAGTGACAAATGTGGAGCACTTATATTTGCAGTGTACATGCACTGAATTTATTAAACAGTTATGCTGCTGTCCTAGATATGTGTCACAAAGTACGTATTTTGTGGGCAGCTTGAGTTGTGGCATTAGTGATGCAATTATTGTTTTTGGTTGGATGCTCTCAGCAGGTAATGTCAGAAGTTCAAGATGGAAGATGGAAGTTGGAAGTTGGATGGTTTTGGAGCAAGCAAATGAAAATATAAAATGATGGATTGAAAGCTCTCAGCTCAGTTTTGTCTTGTTTTGTGAATAATGGTGTAATGGAAACATCTAGAATGCCTCAGAAAGGAATTCCAAAGGTCCTATGAAACTATGATTCTATTTGTTGTGGAGTGGTCAACAAATTCTGATTCAAGGTCATCAATCTCTTTTCTCAAGTAAACTCATTACCAAATCACTGGCACATCAGTGCCTTGTCTTTGCCATGAAGTTTTGGGATAAAAGTATGAGGTGTAGTTTCATATTCAGTTGGTTTGGGTTTCTGCATTGCCCTCTGCCCCCCCCCCCCCCCCACACACACACTGGGAAGAGTCTAGGCCAAATCTGGAGAAACCTGTTGGTATATTTTGGTAGTGGCATATGTTTCACTGCCCCCCCCCCCCCCAACTCATTTTGTAAAGTATGCACCTGTATAAAAACTACAAAATTGGAAGCACCACAGTGCATGCTGGCCTCCCATAACATCCATGTAATGGACAAAACTACAAAATCATGCTGGTGTAAGTGGAAAGCTCCAGTACCAAAAAGATTAAACAGCCTCAGCCTTATACAGCCTTGAAAAGAACAATGCTAATTGCATCAGGTGAATGTGCTGAAATTCAGCATATTTGCATGAAAAACATTTTGATAGGATCCTTTAGATAGTTTTAATCATAATAGCAAGTTTGTTCATTAGAATGGTAATAACTAGTATTGTGTGATGATACTGATTTAATCCCTTTCAGTAATTGCCTTTTAAATGTGGTGTAACATTTTGATCTGCCTGACTCAACATCTACACTACATGCCAGGAACACGGCAGCAACCAGAATGCTATTTTCATGTGACAGTCATGTCTCAGGGCTGTGAATGACACAAAGTGTAGGAGAAAGGAGCCAGTGCCCCCCCCCCCCCCCATGTCCTGAAAAATTACACTTTCCTCATATGTTGCATGGAGAGAAAGAATATGGGCATTTCATCCCCTGCCACAGACCTCCTTTGAGCATTCATGGGATGCATCAGGAGGTTGTGTGTTGCATTGAAATGACTGCCTTCCATATCTTTATCATAGTTCTATCATGTTGTTTATGGATCACTTTTCTCAACCTATATACAGTGGTACAATGAGCCACATCAGGAACTGCAGATGTCAATGGTAAAGGTACCATTTTCAGAAAGGCTACAAACACTCAGAATGTATCTTTAGACAATCTGTGGTAATGAACTTGATTGTGTGTGATCTAGCATGGGGTCATGCTCACATTCCTGCAGGGGATCAACTGACTCAGTGACTGTCTCCACACCCAGTACTGGACCAGCTTGTGGTGACACTTGCTGACCCATTCATGTTTCCTGCAGCCTGAACCACCGCAGCAGCCATGGAGCCGAGCCTTCCGGCCATCACACACGTCATCTTCGACGTCGACGGCCTGCTGCTCAACACGGAGAGCCTGTACACTCAGACCACGGAGCGTGTGGTCGGCCAGTTTGGCAAGCAATTCACGTGGGAGCTCAAGCTGCAGCAGATGGGCAAAAAGGGCAGCGAGGCCGCTGCTGACATCGTGCGCAGCCTGGACCTGCCGCTGACCCCGGAGGAGTACCTGGAGCAGTCAGGCCGCATCTGGCAGCAGCTGTTCCCTACCACTGAGCTGATGCCGGGGGCAGAGCGGCTCGTGCGCCACCTGCACCGCCACGGCGTGCCCATGGCGCTGGCGTCCGGCGGCGGTGCGCCCGCCTTCAAGCTGAAGACGAGCCGACACGGCGCGCTGTTCGCGCTCTTCACGCACGCTGTTCTTGCCTCCACGGAACCGGAGGTGACGAACGGGAAGCCGGCGCCCGACGTGTATCAGGTGGCGGCGCGCCGCTTCGCAGTGCCGCCAGCGCGGCCCGAGAACGTGCTCACCTTCGAGGACGCTCCCAACGGCGTGCTGTCGGCGCGCGCCGCCGGCATGCCGTGCATCATGGTGCCCGACCCGCGCATGCCGGAGGAAATGACTCGGCCCGCCACGTTAGTGCTGACATCTCTGGAACATTTTCGGCCCGAAGACTTCGGACTACCCCCGTTTGAGGCATAGCGATCGCGAGGTAGTCGTCTCGACGGTTTAGGCGAATTGTTGTTCCAGTGCTCGCTTCGGCCAGGGTGCCATACCAGCCAGGTACATGTTATGCGTTTACTTTTTGCAGGGTCTTTACAGATAGTGGACTTAGTAATTGGGTTGATTTTAATTATCTGTGTAACTTACCGCTTAGTTCCAAGCCTATCCGTAGTCACCTTTGTAGAGTCACCTTGTCCCTTAGAGTCACCTTTGTAGAGTCACCTTATCCCTTAGAGTCACCTTTGCGCCTGATGGGAATATGCTTGCTTTTCTAAAAAATACGCACGCTTTCCCCAGCCAGGGCAGCTTCGTTTGGAAAAATGTGCGCGCTCTCCACACATTTCCAGCCAACATGTCAGGGAAGTCCGAAAGGTTCACTATCGCGGGTAATCTCTGCATCGACGATGTGCGCGTTCAGCCCTTTCTCAGAAGTCTGATAGCCGATAAGTGCAGTTCCGAGGTATTTGACATGCATTGTGTGTCACAGGATTTCACAGAAGGCTGGTGAATGAGATCCCCAGCCTGGTGGTCGATTTGAAAATGTGGTTTGTAGCGTCAGTTTGTAGATGGTTTCGCGGCGTAGGGTACCGAATATATTTGACTGGTGTGTCGGTATTTTGGAGTGTGCTACCAAATGTGTACGGCCAAATACCAGACAATACATGACAGGGTATGGATCAACGGGATCAACAGCACATGATGGAAGGCACGACACTGGTGCCCTTACCCGTGCTTAAATGCGGCAGTGTGGGAAATGGTCATGCGCACTTGAATTTCTGTATTACATCAAAATCGCGTTACTAACAATAAGGAATCGGTCCTGAATGCCGATATAGCGTCATGTTTCCAATGTCATTATTTATAAAGCCTTTACTACGCATATGCGACTATCACCTACCGACAGACAGTCGATGTATTGATAAAACTACATCAACGCTCTCCTTACGAGGAACATCTAAGAGACCTTGTCTCCTTCTCTTCTAAGGTTATTTCGGCATAACCAAGGTTATTTGTAAGGTTACGTCGGTTATATCAGGGTGTATCCAACCTTTTTGTACGCTGCTCTTGTTGCATCAGACACGTGCGATCTGATCAGAAATACCAATGTTCTCGAAATTCTGAATGTTCTCAAAGTTTTTGAACTCAAAGTTCTGATTTAAAGTAGCCCACACTGCGAGAGAAAGGTCATTTGACTCCCGATAAATCTTAAGAGCAATACATTTATTTGCCTTGCTTGCTCCAACATATATGTTCTGTAATGTTTGCAACACACTAGTGTGTTCAATATTTGTGTAGTAAATGCTACGAAAGCTTGAAATACTCTATTTAGAATATATGCGAACATGAAACTGTTACCCCGCGAACTTAACGAAACGCTCTACTATGGCTTCTATTTCTCCCCTATGCCGTCTATCACAGCGTCCCTTTTGGAGTCGCGCGTTGGCTTGAGGAATCGTAGAATCACTTGGTCCATGTGACGCACTGGCTCAGACTTCAACCAAAGCGCGCCTCGCTAACAGGCCCTCGCCCACGGGCCAATCACGGACGTTTTTTTAAATATTTGCTCCAGTACGGGTGCGCACGCTGGTTGTCGTGACCAGGGCTGCCATGACGACGGTGATCGCGACTGCAGGGAAAAATCTAGTACTATGACACACGGTAGCGTAATTTGGTGGAGAAAATAATTGACATTAATATTCTTTTATGGCTTGACGGTGCTGCAGTGGCACTACGCTGTGCTACTATTATACGTAACTAGTCCTGAGATTTCACTAGAGTACGACTTTCTAGTAAAAACTGACTTCGGAGCAAGATTCTGACCTGCGCGGTTCATGATCTATTACCTCTTTTTCTAGGTCATATTGGTGATATTTTATTCAAAAGCAACAATCAACACGCTAAATGCACTCGCTTAGGAAGGCATTCCTAACCGTGTGCTTCCTATCAAGACGGTTTGTTTAGTTCTTGATACAGCCGCACGGGTCAATATTACAATCGCAATAACATCTTTAACCTGACAGAACATCACAGATCACATATGTTCGCACAACAGTTCCTAACTGATGTTTTCCGAAAGCTGTCCACACTGTGTCACCATTGTAGAATGCTTTGTTCTTGATAATAGAGGTGCTAATAAAGAGCTGATTTGACATTTTGGAGCTGGTTTTATCAGTCAAGGACCATTTACCACCACTCAACACAACCGTCTAATGCTGTTTTACAAGAGATTTCGATTGTCGTTTTCGGCGTGGCCCCAGTTTGCTTAGTTTTCGAGACGTTATGAAAACCTAAGACTCCCATGCCTCTTAGGGCGAAGATGAAAACTCCCGTGCAGCGAATGTTAAAACAGCTGCGATGCAACCTACACAAAATCATCAGTATAACTTATCCACCAATGAACCCCCGGGCGGAGTGAGCCAAAACATTTGAAAGGGTCATAAATTCCTGTCATTTACCCCTCCCCCCCCCCGTTCTAAAACAAATCCCGAAGAACTCGGTCCTCAACGCACTTTTTCCAGCAAAGGCGATAGTTCTGCAACGGGCAGTTTGATCAGGATACATTTGGGTACACGGTCAGGCGCCCTCCATGATAAGATTTCACTCGGGTCTTTTAGACGCGGAGAGGCGGTCGGCAGCACTGAGGGACCCACTCCGTGTATCCAGCCGGCGCCGCGGCCTAGCTAGCACCGTCGAGTCGGCCTGGTGTGAAGCGACCAGCCCGAAATCAGCTTGATGGCAGACCTGGCCTATGCTGACTATAACCGCGCGCATTTTTCTCCAAGCCTTCCGTGCTAAGCAGATGGGAGAGTTTTGCGTTGCAAGTGACTGGAACTAGCCTCTCCACAGGTCCCTGCAATAAGAAAATCTTACCTCGCGAATTTAACCCACGGGCCTCGCGAATGTAATCCCGACCAATAGCATGTTTTTCATCTCCGCTTTGTGAGGAGTCAGAGGGTCCCCTTCCCGCGATGATCCAAGGGCGGCACCACATATTTTTCCCAGAGGGGGGGGGGGGGGCATAACCGAGAGCTAGGCATTGACAAAACAAAAACAAGCCTAGCCCCTCAAGACCTACAACTCAGCGCATTTCGATCGTATTGTTTTCCACAGACAAACGCTTTTGTTTTTATGGAAAGAATACAATTTTAGTATTTAGCCCGCTGTTGTCTTCTCCACTGCGCTCTCTGTTTATCAACACATCCAGCATACCATCGAGCGTCTACGGGAGCGGCCATTTTGCGATGGTGGAAGCACTAGGTGTTGTATTGCAGCGAAACCATTGTACGAAACAGAATGTTGACACCCGTTCATGATGTGTCCGAATGGCAGTTGGTCTCGCAAGTCATCACCCACTTAGCCATCGTCGTTTTAACGTTGCATATTCTGTAAATAAGGCCTCTCCTCCTGATTGACGGCATCACACCCACTAACCCAAAACAGCTACCATTCTATTAAACTAAAAATCCACAGTGTAGGTGCCCTCACTCTTGCGGCTACTAAGAGCCCGTAGGTCCCTCAGCATGCGGTCCCTTAGGCGCGCGCTGAGGGACGTTCTGTGGTTTTGTGGGCGTTGATGCCCATCATGTGAGGTTTATCGGCTTTGAGACGTACCAAAGTTCACACGCGCCCGGTTGGCCGGCTGTATGCGGCGCACTCGGGTGGAGGGGTGGGGATGGGCTGGATCAACTTGATCGCCTGACATCTCAAAAGCTAAGAGAGCCAGAAACGCAAAATATTCACAGGGTAAGTCGACCTTTTATTTGACCTGAGTTAAGTCAGGTTTTGAGGTCTTTACGTCGTTACCTTCGGGTCAAATAAGGTCGGACAAGGTCGACCTCCAGATTGGTAACCGAAGTGCTTTTAGACCTCGTCACACAGCCACCTTTCAGCTAGATAGTTTTTCTAAGCAAATGTTCACTGATCTACATATACATACATATCAGGTCAGTGAGCTTATTTGACCTTCAGAGAGTCAATGTGACCAAGCAACCTTCAAAATTGTTTGATATTTGATTTTTAGATCAGCATCAAGCACTGTTATCGATAGCGTGCTCCTCAAGTCAAAAGGTGGAGTGAGATCAGGTCAATGACTACTCCCGACCATCATGAAGTCAACATAAGACATCCGTTGACGTCCTGTGATCAGAGAAACCGAAAGGAGGGTTCAAATCTACATCTACCTCATAAGGGCAGTTTTTCGGTAATCCGTTAATAATAAAGTGGTTGGCGATCTTGATCTGCAGATGCAGGTTACTGGATCCAGGAGTGCTTTTGCAATAACTGGCGCCGTTGTAGCGGCTGGCATACGGCGGAGACTTCGATGCTCTAAATGAAGTTGGCAATATATCTAGCTTCTCATGTTCGGGGAAGGGGTCACTTTGGTTGGCTACCTTTTACAAAATCATCTGCTGTGAGCTCAGACCACATTCACCCACAGGCTGGCATTAGCCGGCGGCAGCTTCTCAGGCAGAAGAGGCTTCTTAATGCCAAGAAAGAAACGAGCACGCGCGGCGTTTGTTGTCGCACAGCTGTAGCGTTGTGTCTACGGTTGCTCCGAGTTGTTCACGGGTCGCACCGGGCTTCTGAGCACCAGACTAGTGTGTCTATCTCTCATAGCTTCAGCGTCGACTGGTGTCGGTCTCCGAAGGGATGTCACACCGCGTCGCATTCCCACAGTGCGTGGACACCGATGAGCTGGTTACACTGGAGCCTCACGGAGCCTCTCGGTGGCTTCGTTAACGTTCAGGACATCGTCACTTTTCTCTTTCAGTTGAATTTTGGTGACGACCAGTATTCTCAATGTGTAGTACAACAGCAGGACCAATGATTCGTTGTCATCAGTAAGGATGTGAATGTCCTGGGCACTGTCTACCAACGCTTTCAAGATGTTGCTGCAGAGGGTGACATCTGTCAAAGCATGCGCGATGACGCAGTCTAGCTTGCTGACGAGCTGGATGTTGTTTGGATGAGGAAGCCGCATGGAATTTGTGGAAATTCGTGTTCTTGGCAATGTAAAAATAGCTTCACGGAATTAAGTGTGTGTGTGGGGGGGGGGGGGGTGTAGGTGTGGGTGTGGGTGGGTGTGGGTGTCGGTGTGAGTGTGGGTGCGGGTGTCGGTGTGGGTGTCGGTGTGGCTGTGTGGGTGTGGGTGTCGGTGCCGGTGTAGGTGTGAGTGTGTGGTCGTGGGTGTGGCTGTGGATGCGGGTGTGGGTGTGGGTGTGTGTGCTCTTGGAGGGAGTAGGGGGAGGGTTCAATGGGCATCTTAAGTTCGTCCTCTTCTTATCCAATTGTGGCCTTTTGCGTATGTAACGCTTCACTCTCGTGACTTGCGTTCTTCTTTTCACTTTTGTCCATCAGGGAACCGGCGTGAAAAGGTTGACTATATTCGACCGTAGCGCGCTCGCGTTGTTAAGTTATAAAGCGTCGCGACCCTGGTCGTGGTTGGACCGCGTCCGCACCTCCTCCCACGCTAGCCTGGGCCTCCTAGCTCTCTGTCTGCCTCTCGCTACGCAGTATGCGGCAGTTACCATACCGCGGGGCCGCTGGGCAGCGCTGGCGGGCGGCCTCCAATACAGGGGATGGGGCGTTCTAGAACCTTCGAAGGTGCGCAATTCTAAGTGCACATGTGAGCCCTAACGAGGCAGCAGAAACCTAACAAGGTA